ATTCACACCTTTTCTGTCGTGTTAATGATTTCCTGTCTCATTCTGTGTCTTGCCTCTATTAGAAACCATTTTTTGTAACATTAAAGAACATGTTGTTGCATGCCAGGTCACTTTGCAGACCCGTTTCCGTCTTGAGCTCGCCCGCTTACACCAACAAGTACCAATTAAGGCGAAGGCCACAAATCCAATTATCTGTCTCTGTCTCTTTACTCATTTCAGCTCGTTGCTCCAAGACATTTTCCCTTTATGAACCTCGTATTTGTGTTCCCTTCAGGCTTTTCTTTTTGTAACCTCATGCTTCTTTCTTTCCTCAATGTATTATCCTCCTTTTAATGACATGCCGCCACACAAACACCACTGATGGGATTTTAATTAATTTCAATATTTTTTAAATTAGATTCACTTAAGGCGTGGGTCAATGTCACTGAAAGCGTCACACAGGGCTTTTTTTCATTTCTCTTTTTTGTTTCTGCTCAGCTCTTCTCTTCTCTCTCTTCCTGGCTGTATCCCGGCAATCAATCTCAGGACGCCATCTTGAAGGATGTCTCTATTCCTACAATGGATCTCAAGGAGAGAGAGGACTCTTGCTGGAGGAACGATAAGCAGGGATTCAGTTTTCATTTGTTTGGCTCGTATAAAAGAAACACAACTCAATCACATAGATAACATGTTTCACTCTTTATGTTTGTATTAAATAAATAAAAAAGAATGACATACGTGCATTCTTAATGTGCACATATTGATTGCATAAATCACCATTTTATTCCATTAATTCGCCATCAAGCTCCAAACTACGTCCCACTGTAATGCAAATGCAGCGCAACGTTGTCACAAATCAGCATGTCTATTGTTAAAAATCAAGTCCAGGTCCAGGGGCCTGCCGGTAAAAGGCGAGATCGGGGTTGGAAGTGGCCTGGCCTGGCAGATATAGCGTGATGCTGGTAAATGGTCTGCGTCTGTTTCACCATGTGAGTCTCTCATTAAGGGAAATGGCTCGCAGAGGCCCAGAGTCAGGATGGGAACACACGCCAGTTACACCATCACGGCTTCGTCCTGTGTGTGTGTGCGTGTGTCTTTGTGTGTGTGTGTTTGTGTTTGTGTGTGATTGTGACAAATTAGCCTCCCAGCCAAGGCCAGTTTCCCCTGGTGAACAACTGATACGTCTCTGCTCTGTCCTTAACTGCTGCTGGTGAAACATTTGTTTCTTGCCAAATGTTGAGCAGTGATGCCAGGTTTGTATGGGCTCAGAATAGTCTCATAATACACCCATGCACACAGAAGGATTCACACTTGTATTTCATGATCCACAAAAGGATTCACACTTGTGTTTTTCAATGCACACACAAATGTGACCTGCTCTATCGAAATCAGTCGCATTGACCCGAAGACACATTTTGAGTTGTATACACTGCTGGAAAGAGGGTATTCCTAGCTTTCTAATGGGGGGAAAAAAAAGAAAGGGGGGGGGTAAAATTTTTTTTTTTTCCCCCCTAGGCCCCTTTTTTTTTGTTTTTCCCCCTTAAGTGGAATAATCCCCACAGGATTTTTGGGTTTTTTTTTTTTTTTTTTTTTTTGTAAAAACTTCCCCAAAAAAAACATTAAAAAAAAGGGGGCCCCCCACCCCGGAAAAATTTTTTATTGTCAACCCATTTTTTAAAATAAAAATAGAAATGACTTTTTTTTTTTGTCAAAAAAAACCCGTGGGGGGTCCCCCCCATCAATTTTTTTGGGAAGAAAAAAAAAAAAAGGGCCTTTTTCAAAAGAAGTTTTTTCCTCTTTTTTCTTTCAACCCCCTGGGAAAATTTCCCCCCATCCCAGGATTTCCTTGAAATTTTGGATTTTTTAATTTTTAGCCCCCGGGAAAGGCCCCAAAAAAAAATTGGAAATCCCCAAAAAAATACTTATAAA